TCTCAGACAGACCAAGCTGTTGTAATTACTCCTATTTTCTGAGAAGAAAAAAAACTGCTAGCTTCCACCACACAGTAACTGCAACCACTGTGCATTTTTCTGTTGGTACTAGGGCTGGGCAAGATAACACATTATTTTTGCATTAACACATTACTTAATTAACACCAACAATTATTTTATTGCACATTAACGCAGTTTTGTTTATTATTATTATTATTAGTTTGAAAGTTAGTTACTCACTGGCTTTGAATACACATACAGACAAACCATGGGTCACAGGAGGGATAGGATAATGATCAGTACTGGCTTGGGATGGGCATCATCATGCATCTCAACCAATGAGAGCATTTGGGGTGGGCTTAATACCACTGCAGCGCTCACATGAACCAGACTACAAAAGTGACAGATTACAGAGAGACATTTTGCTGAAACATGCGCAGAGCATTTCATTCATGTTGCACAGAAGAGGAACGTTTCAAATAAAGTCAGCACAACCAAGATGGACACCTGGAACCTCCGTGTCAGTTACCAAGACTAAGTGAAGTGCCTTCTGAAAGTCTACTAGAGGATGTGAATGCAGCACTACAAACAATGGACTGTATTTATGTAGCACATTTTTGTGCAGTGTGTTGCACTGGCCCAAGTCCTTTACAGGAGATGATACACCATTCACACACAACTTTTACACATTGATGATGACAGGCTGCCACACAACGGCGCTAATCAAGCCACCGGGAGCAATTCGGGGTTCAGTGTCTTGCTCAGGAACACCTATGCATGCGGGGAGACCTGGAGTCGAACCACCAACTTGCAGGTCAGGAGATAACTGACCTACCTCGTGAGCCACAGCCACCCCCAGACAATCCCTACTATGACCATCACTGAGACCAACAAGCTGATACACACCACAGCAGCTGTGATCCTTGAGATGCTTGGCTATAAGTTCAACAAAGGCCACTAGGAGCAGTATCCTACATGGAGAAGGAGGTTGGAGGCCAAGATCAAGGCAACAAGGAGAGAAGCTAGCCAGCTATCGGAATTGCAGAAAGGTGTGATGAAGAAAGGGGTATCTCAGAAGTACAACACACTGTCTATACCTGAGGCCTTAGAGACTGCCAAGCAAAGGCTCACAGCCCTGGCCACCCGGCTGAAGAGGTACACCAGGGAAGTTGAAGCCTAGAGAATAAGCAGAATGTTCTCCACTGAGCCATCCAAGGTGCACTCTCAGTGGCAGGGTAAGAATGTGAGAGCAGACCCACCAAGGCTGGAGAATGAACAGTTCTGGAAGAACATATGGGAGAAGGTAGCATGACATAACAACAATGCCCAGTGGCTGGTGGACCTGAGAGCATACCACAGCACCCTCCATGAACAAAATACAGTAACCATCACAATGGCAGACATCCAAGAGAGGGCCTCAAGTATGAAGAGCTGGGCAGCACCAGGCCCTGACATGATCCATGCCTACTGGTTAAAGAAGCTAACTTCACTCCATGGGCACCGGGCAGGACAAATAAGCCAGCTACTAATGGATAGAACCAACCCTGAGTAGTTAACTGAAGGCTGGACAATCCTGATCCTGAAGGACCCTCAGAAGGGAGCAGTACCATCCAACTACTGCCCAATAACCTGCCTCTGCACAACATGGAAACTCTTGTCAGGCATCATAGCAGCTAAGATGGGCAGGCACATGGCTCAGTACATGAGCAGGGCCCAGAAAGGAATTTGTAGTAACACCAGAGGAGCAAAGCAGGACCTTGAAGGACTCTACTTCTGATACAGTGCTGCTGAGTATAGTGAGGGGGCGTTGGGTGGGGGGTTCTTCCTAGAGTCCACTGCCATCTCCGCAGTTTTGAGCATGGTCAGCTCCACATTGTTGCGACCACACCACAGGGCCAGCTGTTCAGCTTCTCATCTGTAGGCCGATTCATTGCCATCTTGGATGAGACTGATGCCCATTGTGTCATCTGCAAACTTTAGGAGTTTAACAGAGGTGTCCTCTGAGGTGCTGTCATTTGTGTAGAGGGACAACAGCAGCAGGGAGAGCACACATCCCTGGGAGATGCCTGTGATGAGAGTCTGGGTGCTGGATGTGGTCTTCCCCAGGCTCACCTGTTGCTTCCTGTCTGTCAGAAACCTGGTGATTCACTGACATGTCGGGGCAGCCACAGTGAGCTGGGTCAGCTTGCAGTGGAGGATGTCCAGGATGATGGTGCTCAGTGACGAGCTGAAATTCACAAAGAGGGCCTGTGTGTAGGCCCCCTGGGAGTTGAGGTGTTGCAGGATGTAATGCAGTGCCATGTTGACTGCTTCATTCACTGACCTCTGCCCAGCAGGCAAACTGCAGGGGGTCCAGCAGTAGGTCTACGATGTTCTTCAGATGGGCCAACACCAGTCTCTCAAAGGACTTCATAACTACAGATGTCAGGGTGACAGGTCTGTAGTCATTCAGTCCACTGATAGAAGGTTTCTTGGGAACCGGAATGATGGTGGAGCGTTTGAAAAAGGAGGGGACTTCACACAACTCCAGTGATCTGTTTAAGTTAAGTGTGGAGATGGGGGCCAGCAGATCAGCACAGGCTTTCAGACAGGAGGGGGTCACACCATCTGAGCCTGGTGTCTTTCTGATGTTTTGTTTTTTAAAACTGCTATGCATTTCCTTTTCACAGATCTTCAGGGGTGGGGTACTGGAGGGAAAGGGAGGGGATCATGGGGGAGCAGCTGCTGGGTCTGAGGTGAGGTGGGTGAGGGGTGTGGAGTTCTGCTTCTCATATCTACATTAAAACACTTCCACAGCAGAGGGGGATGGTTTTCTTTAGCTAGTGATGTTTTTCTGGCTTCTCCACACAGATGAGGGTGTCTCAAAACTGGTTTTTCAGCTTTTTTTGAGTAGCTCCTCTTTTCTATTCTGATCTCTCTTGTCAATGTTTTCCTGGCCTGCCTGTACAAGATTCTGTCCCCACTTCTGTAGGCCTCCTCTTTGGCATGACAAAGCTGCTTGAGTCTTACTGTGAACCAGGGCTTGTTGTTGTATGTGCAGAAGGTCTTACTGGGCACATATATCCTCACAAAAGCTAGTGTATGATGACACAGTGTCAATGAGGTTATCCAGGTCTGTAGACACAGCCTCATATACAATCCAAGCAGTCAAAGAAGCCCTGTAGCTTTGACTTTGCTTGCTCGGTCCATCTCTTCACTGTTTTGATCACAGGCTTTAAGTTTCTGCCTATAGGTTGGGATCAGATTTATTTGTGTAACCTTGTGTTGCACTTTCTTCATTTATGTAGAAACAGATTCCATCGTCTCTTGTTTTCCTAGATAACTTTGTTATGTGATTTGCTCTGTATACTTGAACCCTAGTATTGCACTGTCTGAGGTGGAGTCACTGAGCCAAGTCTTTGATGAAGCATAGAGTGGCAGGGTGTGAGAAGTCAGAGTTAGTCCAGTTGACTAGAAGGCTAGAGAGCGGATATTTGCTAAATTGATAGACAGGAGTGGCTTCTGGGTCCCTCTTTGTCATAAATTAACCAGGGCCCCCCGGCTCTTTCCC